ATCACTGAAGTTTTCTTTCAGAATTGAAGTATATTTGAACTGCTGGAGAGGCACTAATTGCTGCTTCGAACATGTATAATACAACAGAAAACGTGATATAGTAATTATTTAGATAAAATTCCCATTAGAGATTTAAGATCAAATTACCACATTTAATTGCAACAAAACCTTAACTTAATTGTCACTCGAAAACATCTTTCTCCCTTTTGGCATTTTCATATCTTTTCACCTGCTGTGCTCTGCCTTCAGTTTATGATCTTTAAGATTAATTTCCTATAAAAATAAAATTTTCAAGAAAGAATGTGTAATAATATCAGTTTCAGATATCCTAAAGACACCATTTAAAATAATATTGCACAAGAGATGAATATTCAAGTGAATTGAAAATATAACTGTTTGTCAAGACATTTAGTGATAGACATCCGTTAAGTTATAAAATAAATTGTATGATCTCTTATTTTTTCATATGTTTTCCTCTTTGATTCGGATAATATTGCCTGTTTATATAGAGAAACAACAACCTTTCATTTTAGCCACTAATGTAACATAAATCAGTTCAGCTTCGGTGAAGAATTTTGATACCTTCATGAAAATAAAGACATTCTGTACTTCCTTGAACTATTGAAATGTGTTACCATTACCCATTTTCAAGTTCCAAATAGTGTCATGAATTAATGGTGCAGATTTATTAAAAGATTGACAATCTATTTCGACAGAAAGGATTTCACGAGAAGGATGATAGAAATAAAAACAATGTAATAAACGAAGAGATTTTTTTAGAAGAAAACTACCACTCAATGGCTAAAATCTGTGCAAGAACCTTCTTTGCATAACACATTTCTTCAAATAATTCCAGTGATAAAAGCGCTTGTATTTGTTGTAAAAGAAAATAAATCTGGGAAAAAGATAATTAACAAGGAAATAATAATAATACTGACAGAATGATGCAGCAGCAACAACAACGACATAACAATAACGATTACATCAACGATAACTACCCCAAAAATACAAGTGTAGCCAAGTAGTTATTTAAAAAAGATGTGACATATGCAATAATACGGTATGGTATCTATTTAAAACAATACTGAATTAAACCAAAAGATATCGCCCAGTATATGAAATTAAATAATAAATAAAAACAATAATTATTTGTGAAACATTCTTTTATTGTATTATAATTTCTATCTCTAAAACTAAATTATTCAGAATATCTATAAATGATAAAAAGCAAATTATTAACGGCACAGCAATCTAGCGTTGCAGCAAATGCAAATATATGGCGTAATCTTATATAATAAGTCTGCTAAATTTATAAAATAAACTTGCCTGAACACTATATTTGGGCTACGTTATCATTGTTTGGGATATCAAGATAAAAATTTAAAGTTAGCCCACAGTATAGAGAACCTAGTCAGAATGCATTTGTATTCATTAATTTGAAGAAGGTGATACCCTGGAAGCATTGATCACAAAGCAATTACATGAACATTTCAGAATTGGTTGAGTCTGTACATGAGGAATGATGATAAAAATGCAACATCCCTCACACCGCTTAGCACCGGTTTGTGAGGTACTCAATTTTCAAAACATAAAAGTGCTGAAAAGATGCCTGGCTCAATAATGGTGGCAAAGTCTTAACAAAGCAATATGAGAGTTAATGCTCAATATGGCTATTTCCATTATAAACATATGTTAACATTTAATATCCGGCTTAATTAGATTCCTACGTATTTAGTACATGCAGTGAGAAAATAGAAATAACCTACACTCAATAACATTAGATATTGTTTTAAATATTTTCATTTGTTGTGTTGGCAATTTGATATTTTGGAGCGATAGTAAAACATTCAACCGATGCGCAGGATGGTATCGTTAAGCTAAAACTATATACTATAAGTAATTGTTTTTATTCTTTGTTATTTGCTTTACTTGATTTTCAAAAGTTACATGTGGATTTATGTCAATGATTTTCATAGTGGTCTATTTACTTTAATATACATAAAAACTTCCTTCTATAGAAAGATAATAACTCATAGATGACAATAGGCAGTGCATTTCGCTTCCATGAAGTAACATAAAAACTAATCTAACGATCTGAAAAGTCTCAACAGAATTAAACTTAATCTGTGAATAAAAATTTATTTTTTCATATTGAAGCAATAAACCAGTTTTATAATTCTCTTAGGTTATATAAACCTGAAAAAAAGTTTCATAAATAATGACATGAACACATAGTAATGTAATGTTCTTTTGTCAGATATTGTTTAATTAAAAAAGGTTGGCACATGTGGCACATGTGTACAGAGGGAAATAAAACTCCCTATTTCAATTTACTTTTAACATTTAAATGTTATCCAAGTTTTATATATGTATTATCATTGCATTTCTTCATTATTTACTTTTTTCATTAAGCAAAGTCGATGTCTATTAATTGCTTTCTTTTCTCAAAAACTAAAGCTGTTATTTTATATTTGAATCTACATGTATATATTAGGTAAAAACGGTTAAATTGAAGGTCGGCTTTCAATTGGCTCAATAAATGGATTTAGAAATACAAAACACTGTCCATACCCACAATCAGCGGGTAGACAAGACACCATTTTAATTTTTATATGACACCTTTGACACATATTTTTGAAAACTTTACATGTTGCATGTCATTCTTGTCAATAATAAATCAACACTGGATCAGAATTAAATAACAGCAGATGAGTTTGTTTGAATTTAATATTCTTCAAACGTCTACAAGAAAAGCACAGTGTCAGAGAGTGCATTTATGATTTAGATATTTTGTCTGTTCGAGAGACGTTTTTACTCATTTGCACAAGGAAACAAAAGCACAAAACAACATATAATTTCGTTGTTAGTTTTCATCAGGGCTCCCAGATCAGAATATCACATTATATTGCAGCCACTAATAAACATAATTGTGTCTCGAAAATATATTTTTCGCCATTTATATTATTTTTATGAAGATATCTAAGTACTCTTGCCTTCAGCTTACAAGATTTAAAATTAATCTTATGCAATTAAAAATGTAAAACAAATACCGTACAGAACAAAAACTATTAAACATGTCAATAAGAGACTAAGTCTAAATATAAAGAAGATAATGTCCAATATGAATGGATACGTTGTGAGCGATTTAACCATCAATATCGTTGCGTTACACGCCGTATTTCTATATACTATATATATGATATACTCTATTTTTTATAGAAACTGGTGTTGTTAGAAAATGAATGACAGGCAAACAAGTGACAGTTTTTGCGGTGTTGTACTTTAAAGAGGCATAATATGACCAGCTCTAACAGCTTAAAACAAAGAAGAAACCTTACTGTGAGAAATGATATTAGTTGACGACCATACATTTACTTTCTTACATTTGTAAGAAATATTTTCCAATCCTCACGTCGGGAGTCCTTTGTTTCTTAAGGAATGAATTTTATACCGAGAATATTTAGATCCCTTTCCCGAACATGTACGAGGTTTATCGGAAAGATATAAATATTGAAAGAAGACAAAAACACTACCCAAGTCTCCGTAAGAAATGACATTTTCCACTTTTTGTTTTCAGTAATGATATGGGTTAAAGTGACCTGATTTTGGATTGTTGTAATATTTCAAGGTTTTTTATATATTGTGCAGTTTTGTATTAGTTCTTTTAAAATAGGTCGACTCTATCAAATGGAGTATCGATCGAATGAATGAACTAATACTGATTTTTAAATTATACAGTACTAGTACACTGAAACGATCTTTCAATGAAACACTAATACATTTTTGCTAAACAGTTATTCCTTTTAAACTGACCTCGTTTACCGTGTCTTTAACATCTTAAAAATTGCACACATCATTAAGTTACGCATCAAATACCATAGTCTTCGTTTAATAAAAAGAAACTTATATAAAAGTCAAATTTGCTTTATTAGAATCATAAATATAACACTAATGTAATCCGAATTCTTGCAGCTTACTTCGTGAAAAAACTAATTCCAGTTCAGACCACGGTGAAATGAAATATATAATTTTTAATTAATGAGGTAAATAATATTAGTAACTAAGCAATATTTATCTCGATTAATACTTCCATGCTTTATCAACAGAAAAGAAAAACTGTACTGGGCTAACACGGTGCATATCATATCTGTACAAAGCACCACATATGCTTTTATTTGCGTTAATCGCTAAGTATGTAATATTTACATAAAAGTAAGAAATATCTTAAATACATCTTTTCTACGTGTCATACCTCATTTCCTTATTACAATGAAATTTTACTGGATTGTTATCCATTTAGCAGAGAATGACCTGTGCATATGCAAATAGGGTACCGTTTGAGCAGATTTCGCAAATAGGGTTCTGATATGGATATGCACCGTGTTATAGTACATCATTTTGATTTATATGTAATATGATGACATATTATACAAGAAAAGGTAGACAATATTTTAGTACTTCACAAAAAAGAGAAAGATATTTAAAACAATTTCTTCTTATTATATTACTTATAGCATCCATAAACAGAAATAAACCAGAGGATGTGATATTACAAATCAGTAAAAGGTACAGGAAATAATAACTACATGTACATACTGTTATAAAAACACTTAATATGTACTTACAATTGGAAAATGTAAAAGTTATACATATACATTGAAAGTTTATTTGAATTACTTTTTGTCTGTTTTCTTGAAAAGTCAAAAACTGGCGGCGTGGCCGAGTGCTTAACGCATAGAACTAGACGTAATCTAAGGATTGCTGACCGCCTGGGTTCAAACCCTGTCAGGGGCAAGCCGTTGTTCCTTTAGCAAGAAACTTTACATTCAATGCTTTGTACTGGTTGGTTCCAGGAACGGATTCGAGAGTGTCTCAATAAGCTTATAGTTTCCAACACAATCGAATTAAAATAAATTTTTATTAACTAAAAACTGAAAAATGAAAAATTAAAAGATAAATAATAATAGTAAGTATCTACTAAATACGAGGAACCTAAAAGACATACACACACAATTGTCAATACCATGTTTAGGAGATAAAACATTCGCTATGGGCATGACTGTAACCAATATCAATTGTCGTGAGCGTCTACTAGAGTCAGTTAAATGTTAGCTATAGGTGCAAATAGAAGCCGGATACATCACTGCTAGAGACGATTATAATAACTGGACAAAAGAAAGGACAGATTATTATCTCAATTAAAATGGTAAGTGTTACATAAACTTATAAAATATAAATTCATGTCATACTGCCGTTTTTAAGCTATTGTTATAAATTTTATATCATGACAGAGTGTCGCTTTTTGAAAAAAAATATGTTAGACTTATTATGCGCTACAAAGAATATTCCTGGAAACAAATGGCTAATGTAATGTTTGGTTTAAAATTTAATTAGGTATGTACATTTTTAAAATAAACTTTGCTTTAGCAAAAAGGACTTTTACATAAATATAGACATTTAATAAATGCCTGATAAGAAAATTGTATTTTCGTTTGTTTAATTTAATCGTATTTTTACGTAACGAGCGCTGTTAGCACATTGGAATAGTATGATTGTTGTTCTATGTTTTCAAAATAGATGTTTCCACAAACAACAATAAAAATGCCATTTAATTGATTAAAAAAATAAGTTATAAAGATATATCTTTAAACTTCATATAAAACAAAGAGATGGTCTCAAAATGATGATAGTAAGTATTCTCGCAATTTATCATAATCGTATAATAATATTGATATAATTATATTGACAAAAAATAACTGTGTAATTATATGAAGAATGAATCAATATATTGAACGCATAAGAATATCTAATAGTTTTTTAGGTTTTTTAAATTTGTTCAAAAATTTTTAAATACCCATTTGCTCCGTTTTTATTTTCAACTGTTTCCTATTTTTAACATTTTTTTATGATTTAAACCATTGATTTCTTTACTTATGTAAAATTTGGGTTGCAAAGAAAAACAAAAAACCACTTTGCGAGGTTTAAAAGGTCTTACTGATTCCCCCTCAAAATATTCTTGAAAATTTTTTTGATAAACAATCGGTTATTAATGAAAAAATTTTTGAGAAAAAGTTTGCGTTAAAAAAAAGCAACCCTTTTTTAATTTAATTTTGGCGAATTTCCTGTTAGAGAAAAAAACTTACAATACAAGTGGTTCACAAATAGGGACAATTAAAAATGATGCTTCTACTTTATTGTCGTTAATGCATGTACATCAGATCAAAAATTTGTAAATTGAACAAAGTAATCATGCAAAAATACATTTACTTTTCAGAATGCCCATGCTACTAAAATATAGAAAAATAGGTGTTAAATGGTGTCTAGACGTTTTAAAATATCGTGGCGTATATATCATCCTATAATGATTTAAACTGTATGTCAGTCGGAGTTATCTAACTTTTATTGTGTAAAAAGTGGAACATTAGCATTTATGTATGGCTTTGTCCATATTTTATTGTTACAAACTAATATATATTGGTACATTAACCATGCCATTACTATCATGAAATCTTCGGAACCATCTTATTTTTTTATTGACCTCATATATACTTCCCTACGAACATACTCACTTATTCGCTCAGTAAGATCGGAAAAAAGCCCTTTCAAGTGAAACATATTCACATAATGGGTTACATAACATGACAAAAAACAACAATTGCCAAATACTCTATTTGTGAACGCTAAAAATTTATCATTTTACAATAATTTCATGTATACTTTAATAGAAATTTTTATTATTGTTTTTTTATTCGTTTTTTTTTTCTTTTTTATTAAATTTCATTTAACGTACTGAAATATAATATGTTGATATATAATACGTATCTGTACTTTATTAATATAATTTCAAGTAATAGATAAAAACATATAAACGAGGAGACATATTACCTAAAATTAAAGAAAAAAAAAGCAATTAAAATTATTGTCTCCGTTGAATTTGAAACTCGTCTATTTCATCCTATGTCTGGACTTAAAGACGTATTCAGATTCATGCACTTAATTAAAAAATTAATATATCTATTTTCGATCAACAAATTTCTAAACTTAATAATATTTACGGCAATACCAGAATACCAGTTTCAGGTTTAAATGACAATGAATGAGACGTTATTCTATAGTGTCCACGAGAAATAACGTTTCTTGTAATAGACAATTGTTGATTGATTATTTAGTCTGAATATAATCGCAACGATTGGTCCAGCTGTGGGAAAGTATCACAAAGTGGTCTTCTTCTGGGGCCCTGCGGAGCAAAAATACCTGGCACAAATCAGCCACCATATGAACACAAACTCATAAAAATCGCTTATTCTGGTTGTCTTTATCTGCATTGCAATGGCTTATTTTATCTGTTCTTTTGAATGGAATTGAATGTTATTATTAGTTACATTACGTTGCCATTGTATAATTTGTATGTTGTTTATTTGTGGGTTTCTTGAATAGAAAAACTAAATCTTGGAATCTTAAAAGCTTGACAATACGATTTTCAAAAGCTCATTGAATGCAATTTGAGCAAAACATAAAACATTTACGTAAATTAACAAGTCATTGTTTGAACTTTTATTACCGACTCTCTGCATTAAACATGAATGTAAATGATTTCCCGACATAATGATAGATAAACGGATCGTGCCGTCATTTAAGGCATTTATCTCAGTAGTGACGTATAACACACTTTGATTGTACGGACAGAAAGTTTTCGTCATAAAATTGCACGTTTAAATCAATCAAATTTACCTGCGGAATTCGGAAATGTCGCTTATGTCAGAAGTTACAAAACTGAAGGTATTTGCACGTGTGAATTAGCGGGAAAAATATTCTTCTTCTGCGTTTAAATACAGAGTGTAAAGCCATTGACATTGTTACAGAGGACAAGTAATTTATTCACTTGCTTAAATATTATCTTTAAAATATCCTTAAATCGTATTTTGCCTTGGAATTGTACAGGTATTTTCTGGGTTATATTGTTATTTTTCCTCATGTAGTATTTCCATGTACATAATTGAGTAAGCTTAATAGATTTTAGTGGATGAAAATTACAACGGAGTAGGTTATTTTACTTTAACACGGACAAATGATTATATTCGTTTTTATTCAGAATACTTCATTATAGCTATGGGTGGAATCTTGGATGACAAATACGTGATCGATAAAGATAATTATTTTAATATGTACGGCGTTATTGCGGAAATACTATTTATGAAATTAGCATTAGTAATTAATTTGTACACTCGAGAGATGTGTTTCGCCAAAGGACTGAAGTCAATTCATTAAACATTGTAGCAAACATTGCCATGTGCACATACTGCCATGATAAAGATGTCATAAGAGAATAAAGATATACATTTTTGAATATGTTTTCTGTTTGTTTCAAGACAAATTCAATATTGACCTATAAAGGCACAAAATATTTTCTGCCGAATTTGCATTTTTATTATAAAAAGAATCATTCTTTAGATTCGTTTAACCCGATATTGTCAATGTTCAATTACATCGTCTCCTTTATTTCCACTGGAATTATACTAATTACTATAGATTCGGTTTAAACCCATATATTGATATTCAAATAAATTAGATTGGCATTTACATCTGAATAACGAGAACAACTGTTTTACATTGGAATAAAAATTACACGTGCCATTAGGTAAATATAATATTAATCAATTGTATGCTTGAAAACCAGAAGGAATCCTTCATAACAATAACATTTTAAGTGTTTAAAAGTTAACTTTTTACCCAATAAAAAACCAACTCAACCTGAGCTATGTTTAGTATTTTATGTACTTATTGTTATACCACACTAAGTACAATTGGAACCATCAATAATACTTGAACTTAATTATTGACTTTGGAAAACACATAATATTGGAGTCATATTTCTTGATGCATTAATCTCTTCCTCTAAGAGTATCATTTTCTAACTCTTTTTTTTCTATCTATCTATCTATAGCACATTCCAATGACTTAGGTTTAACTAATTGCGCTTATTTGTTGTCTATCTGTTAGCATTGCTACGGTTTCTGAAGCTATCTCTGTTATTGGTATTATTGCCATTGGACCATCTTGGTTTCTGTGTCTGTTGCTATCGGAAATAAAGTCATTACTCCTATGAGAATTGTTATTGTGTTTGAACTTCACTGACGTGACAAGAAATGTTCATAATTGTTGTTACTTCCTTGTTGAGAATACGAGTTATCACTATCACATGCTGGTAATCGCTAGTCCGCGTTCCTCAACTCTTAGATGGAGAACGCTGACTTCTAATATGTAGTTCATTGACTATGTTACCAACTGTTGGTTAGTATAAGGCTGTTATCGCTGCTAACGGCTGCGCAAATTCAATATCACAACCATTGTCTTTTGAAAACATTTACAATAGCTTTCCGCTTGCGATTTTAATTGCCTTCCCCAATGGAGTTCATGATATACACACTTTTATCACTGATCAAATTCGCCTTTTAAATGGTTGACCTCAAATAACTGATTTCTTGTGCTCTGTGTTTTTCTTGTTTGTTAAGAGTTTATCCAGATAAATGAATTCATAAATAATTAGAATGAGCTCATATTTGTATGACTGCATTTGATTGTCAATGTATTTCTTGAGGCATTATATAAAAGCTTCGAGCTTTTGAAAGTGTTTTGTCATGGCGAATTCCATAAATCGACATTTCTTTTTAGAATTCAGAACTTACCCCTCACTTCTATTTCTAGTACATATTGATTCTTTTAGTTTTATAATGGGCGTTGCGTTTTTGATATGTCACTACATATAGACACTTGCTTCTCGTAATACAATCAATGGACGATTTGTCATTTATCTTAATTTCCATTAAAACTGATGAAAAAATTGAAATAACCGGGTGTTGGTATACGAGAATGAACACATATATAAATGTTTCTATATTTCATTTACACCATTAACTGTTACAGTAGCTAAATTGTGTATTCTTATTATGTATAGTACTGCCAGTTATTTACAATTTTAATAAAACATTCTTGCAAGATGATCATTTAGGTTATTTGCAATCACTTTATTTACGTCTTTTTTTTCAATCTTTTTATTGAAGATATTTTAAACAAACTATTGAACATGGACTTAAGATAAGTCATAAATTTGATACCATTTGCTATTAAAACGGTATTAAATGTTCAATATGTATCATTGCATGTTACTTTATGATATATAAATATAAAATAATGATATGTATAACATTTGCATTGTATCTAAGCGTGCAAATGGTGTGTATTTTTAATTGACTGGTTGAAATAAATAAGTTTATTCATTATATGGTAAAGTGGTACTTTGAAGTTTTTTTTTAAGAACTGTTAGTTAGCAATAATATATTTTTCACAAATCTGTATCATGACGCAAAGCAAATATGGCACCAATGGGGATATCTAATATGTAATCTTGGTCAGATCCGTTCAGGATAATGGCATTCTAAAGATTATCTTTAAAATCTCCAAAAACAACAATAACAACAAAAACATAAAACAAAACAAACAATAAAAACACAATTCATATTCGATTTAATGACATCTGTAGTATTTTTATTATGTTGCATAAATAGTTCATTAAACATATAAACAGTTTATCATGTATTATATGACGCTTTATTTATATTTTTAGAAATCTGCAACACTTCTTCTACTGTCGTGCCTTACTTTGGTATACTCATTCAGACTTGATGGAAATCCACTGTATGAAATCAGCTGCATGAAGCAATGTGGGTCATATTTCAGCACATGCTACAAGAATTGTTTTTCTAATGAACCGGAAACGGAAGCTACGTATGTTAAACGTAATCGCGCATGCTTAGACGGATGTATAATTAGACTTACCACGTGCCACCACTACTGTTCAAGATGAAAAGAAAAAAACTTGCAATCAAAGTGAACGCAGCAAGTCATACAACCTATAAGATATTTGTATCATTTTGGAATGGAATAAAGTATATCGATATAAGTTTGAATTATTCTATTTTTAATCTAAAATGTACATGGATAATACATGTGTTGTAAAACGCTCAATAAATATATTTGATTAAATGCATGTGTTCTCTTTGAATAAAATTAAATTACAGGGAAACTTGTGTACTTAACCTAAAAAAAAGCAATGCATTTCAAAGCATGAACATCTTTTTAGTATTATTGTTTCAGTGCATACGAGAAATATGTTGCATCTTAGTTACTAACTTTATGCAATTGCTGAACTGTTATAGCCATAATTTTTTCAACATTCTTGATGGATGAATGAATGAATCACAAAAGTTAACAAGTAAAATAGTTTCCTGCGGTGAACATTTTAATGATATAAATATATTTCATTTAACTATTTTCAACATTATTTGGGGGGAGGGGGGGGATAAAACGTTTGTATCAGGAATATAGTTGACAAAAATCGATCAATATAGAAGAAGGTCTTTGGAAACTAATTTTCATGAAAATTTTGAAAATGTATTTGAATGTATAATAAAATAACCAAAATGAAGCAATTTGCACATTATCAATGAAACTTATTACTAACGTAAATTACCAAAAAGTTGTCAAAATATGCATAAATAGCCCTTACTGCGTTAGTTACGCAGTAGAAATATAGTTGTAAATATTCAAAAATCAGTCATTAACCGCACATAACATGTAAAATATTACTTGAATCTTGAATCATATTACTTTTCCCAAAATCGTAGTACTTATTTCTCAAGTTTGATTTTATTGAAATATTTTGACTCATCTGGAGGCATGCAGCTTTAAGAAAATGATAACATAGGCCGACCATTTTATGAATAATTCCGAGCAAAAAATAAATAAAGTAAACACACAAGTTTACGCAGAAAATATTTCTATCTCGAATATTTTAATTTTGTAGATTTTCAGTATAAACAATTTATTGTTTGTAAACTTTGAGATAGATATTAAAGAAACATTGATATAATTTTCAAACACATCATTCAAGTTTTTCCACCTTAAACGGTAAAATAATTATAGAAAATTAGAAATATCACGTAATAGTTTTTTTTTCAATTAGGTATAATTCGGACTAATTCCCTACAGGTAAATCCGTAAAGTACCGGCAAACGGTATTTAGCTGGGTTTTCGAAAAGGTCAATTAACCAATCATATACGGTTTACAGATCACATGCTCCTCCATGTACCGAAAACAGGTCACGTGCTCCTCCATGCCTCAAAAGTTAAACGCGTACCAATACCCTGCGGTCTCCAGACCGCAGGGAATAATATGAATGCATATATCAATTGTTCTGTGTAGCAAATTTAGAATAATTGCTTGTATACCTCGGTTTGATTGTTAAAATTATATGATCACCAAGGCAAGGTAAAATAATATGTGTTTCGGGCAACAGTCTGAGAAAGTAAGTTAGGGTAGGACTTGAGTGTCTTTTATGCATAAAAAACAAAACGACGAAATATGTCATCATATGTTCAATGATCGTTATATAGAAACTCTTGGGTCGGCGGGGTTAATCTAGATGGAGTTGAATTCCTTGGGTCTTAAATGTAATTATTTCAATCATAACAAAATCGAAAACTGCAGTTTATATGTAACTATTAGATTGTCAAAAAGCTCCATAAATTCCAAACACTGTGCTAGTTAATGTGTAAACTATATTCGCAAGAAACGTTCGATCACAAAAGCCACTCTTATAAAATTAATCTTAATAAAAAAATATATTGTCCATTAATAAAAGAAAAATATAAGCTAGGTTATCAGGAATTGGTTTTAATAGTGTTCTTAATTGTAAGTGACCAATTAATTCAATATGTATTTGGGCAGTCCAATATATTGTTTGATTTTGAGTTCTTTGAGTGACTGCGTATTACAATTAATTAAAGTTTTACGTTAATTTCTTTTCATTCATCGATTAGCCGTAAAGATATGGGAATTTGTTTTTGTTTTCTCACAACGTTTTATATGACTTCTTATTAGATTGAATTTTGCTCAGAACAAGACATTTCTCCTTTTATTGTTGCTAGTTGGATTATCAACTTAATCCATTTCCTGATAGAAATGAGTAATGGAATCTAATGATTTTACTTGTGTCGCGGTATTGTGATACATTTACAATTTGTAACAGGAAACTTTAAAAATAGATTAGTCTTATTAATCAAAAGTTACATGTCCGTTTACAGAATTTCTGAACAGGTGAATATTCACGTCCATTATATACATGAATAGCTAAAAGCATGTGTTTTATCAATTTAGGATTGCATTTATTTTCCCTACATCTATAAGAACAAGAGACAAACGAAACACAAAGAGCCAACATGGAGTTACCATAGCTTAAGTGATAAGTGCAACAGAACAAAAGAGGAAAGGTTTTGTACATTGTACAAGTCACAATTTATGACAGCAGTTTTTTGGTATTGTTAAATGACAAAACAATTAACTCATACACTATACAAATGCAATTTCTTACACATTACTTAGTTTAGAAATAATAATTTTAAAAATCATTCTATTTATAATTTGTAATGCTTAACCATTTGATAGGAATTACTACCTTAAACTAAGCACATATCACTATATATCATTACAAAATGACCTAAATAAGGGAGTAATACTTGAAAACATATGTTGGTTTGTTCTTATTGTGACAATCAAATACTTCGTCAGTGAATCAAGCCATAAAGAATATGAATGTACGCAATTATCCATTTTTGTAGTTTTGTTTATATGTTAACTTTTCTTAAGATTTATAAATTGTTTCTGGTGATAAGTAAAACATAAAGCATTCACAACTACTTTCAATTAAAACAATTTGTAATGGTCTATGGTATAACTGTGTAAAATATGACGATTAACATAATGGACAATAACGATCATAGAATGTGGCCTAAAGTTCACAAAGATGATACATTATTAATTATTAATGAAACTATTTACTTCAGGGAGGATAAAAGAAGTACTGTTGTATTGAATGAATTATAGTGTTAGCATATACATAGCTGTATTGCGGCTAACCTCATATACTGTCCATGTATTATCATATTTCACAGCTATATTCAATAGTGTTTTTTTTGCAGAACTATCACTTTTTAAAGCCTGTGCAAATAAGGAAAATGACTTTGTTTAACTGTCCAGTATAAGAAAAGAAGAATAAAAACAAGTCGTTGCTGTTTGATACCTTCAATAATGCATAAAATTTAATATTTTCTTACTTATTTGAGATAAACAACGTTGAACAAAGAAGAACATATAATTAATCAAAAATTTAATATAACTACGCACAAATGCAAATCAGATTTTGAAAGTTAAGTTTCATTAAAATCAAACCTGCCATTTGTAAATAGTATTTAAAGTTTTAATTTACATTTAAAGAAAGCTTTATTTTTTATGTTAAATAAAAATATTACCATGGCTTTTTCATACGGAGCCCCTTAGGTGACATTTTCCACACTTTTTTCCCCGGAACTTAATTCGTCTTTACGAAATAATAATTCGTAATTACGAAATATTAATTCGTTTTTACGAAATATTAATTCCTTTTTACGAATTATTAATTCGTTATAACGAAATATTAATTCGTTTTTACGAAATATTAATTCGTTTTTACGAAATATTAATTCGTTTTTACGAAATAATAATTCGTAATTACGAAATATTATTTCGTAAAAACGAATTAATATTTCGTAATTACGAATTAATATTTCGTAAAAAAGAATTAATATTTCGTAAAAACGAATTATTATTTCGAAAATTACGAAATAACATTTCGTTTTTACGAATTAATATTTCGTAATTACGAATTAATATTTCGTAACAACGAATTAATATTTCGTAATTACGAATTAATATTTCGTAATTACGAATTAATATTTCGTAAAAACGAATTAATATTTCGTATAAACGAATTAATATTTCCTAATTACGAAATAATATTTTGTAATTACGAATTATTATTTCGTAAAAACGAATTAAAAGCCGGGGAAAATGTGTCGAAAATGTCACCTTAGGGGCTCCGTATTTTAAGAACCCCCTAGGTGGTTTTGATTTAACTCTGTTACCCTCATTCCCCTATCAATATAGTATGTTAACGAAAATTGGAAAGACCGATTTGATTATTTGGATTCGGTCGGATATACGCAATTGTCAACATTTGGGGCTGATGGGGTTTTGCTTTGATCTTTACCGTTCTACCACTGATAATTTCAACGTTAACTTGTTTAAATGTGGTTTTCCTCCTTTTTTACCCTAGAATATGGACCGAGGAGGGACGGACCACGCCATTTCAATAGTCGTCTTCCGATGTTATCAGCTGAACGAAATAATGATTTATGTTTTTTATTGCAGGACCTCAACACGTATTTTTTATATTACACACGTGTATAAGGGTACTTCTGTTCTATGTGCAAAATAAAGCTTTCAATTTGGTTAAATCTAGTCATGAGATAATGAGAAATGGCATTCGTTGTTATTTGAAACTTCTAATGTAACAGCAAAAATACAGGCTACATGAGATTGTAACATCCGAGCGTAAAAATATTTATTTTTTGTTTCTGGTGATTCAACCATCTATATGCCACTAAGGAGTCTTTTGATCAAATATAGTTCGTGACTTTTGCCTTTATCGCCTTCCCTTCTGGACCTTTGTTCTCATTTGTTTTTATATTTCAAACATTAAGAGGAAGTTACTTTTACGGGAATGACAAAAAACTGTTAAGTGATTGAGAGAAAAGTTAGATAAGCACAAAAATAATACATTGGCTCAATATTCGTGATTACATTAGCTTGGAAAACATATGAGGTAGATGGGAGCCCTATGAAATCAGCAACAAAGTAGCATCGTTCATAAATTTGTTCATACGACCATGTATGACACGTGAACATCATACATATAACATATGTTATGAGTTGCAGTACGGATCGGAGGGACAGATAAGATGTTCTAGCTTATAACCAATCGCATGGTCTTGTATTCACAATTGGTACATGTCTGTTTATGAAGCGGATGACTTAATTATATATTTCATACCGGTTTTATTACGGAAGAGTACTAGTCTTCAATGTATATTTCAGATTTGTCATCAAT